GAATGATAGACTGTATAAATAAAAACACATAATTACAAGCTAGATAACAATCAATTAGCCGAATAAAATCAACCACCCAACTAAATCTAATTGGGAAGACCACCAGTGGTAGCTTATAACCAACCTATAACAATCAAAACACACAAACACTAAAAAAACTAGAAAAACTCTCACAAGTGGAGATTATAAATTCCCAACAGGAGAATAAAGGCTCCCAACACGAGAAGAAGTACATAGAAAAAACAGCAAAACACAGAAAACATACAAAAACACAAGAAAAAAAACTAAGAAATAGAATAAGACCCTCTCCAACATCTGAAAATACAACCCAAACCACCTCTAGACAAACCAACACCCAAAACGCGATCAATCACAAGAAAGAGACCCAGTGAACGACCCAACACAAAGGATCTAGAAACTCTCTCTATGGCTAACTAGATCCACACCAACGGTCTGAAAGTCCTCCCAACAGTTCATCGCAGAGTCAACATTGGGAGACCTGCACCACAATCCTCTCCACGCATAAATCGAGAGCTGCATCTCCGCATCATCGCCACCGCCGGAAGAACCCGCCATCCCAACACCAAGAAAGGTCGAAAAAAAGGAAGACCAAGGTATCGATCTCAGCACCGACTGTCGCAAGGTGGCCTACAACGCCTGCCGCCACGAGATTGTCGGTGGACCGTCAAAACACCACACGGAGACGAAAAACCTGAAGCTCTCCTGAAAACTCGAGGCCAGCCCAGTGCAGGCGTGCACATCGGACGTTGTCGAGGGGTGGCAGGACACCGGACGAAGGAGAGGCGCAAAAGTAGTACAAGAGATGAGGGTTTTTAGAAAGAAGTGGGAATTGGGAAAGTTGGAGCGGGAGTCTAGTCTACGCTGCCAGAAAAACTTAAAAAGTCATTTTTGCAATATGCTACCTTACCAAATTTACGACACACTCAGTTAGACATGGCCATTTTAAGTTCCTGGCCGATCTCGAGTCGGAATCGCTGGTTCTAGGTCGAGGGTTGGGGACCCTGAATTGGACCGAACATATGAACGGGCTAGTTCAGCGAACCGACGGTTTCAGGTCGATTCAGTGAACCGCTGATTGCGAGCCGTCATTATTCATTTAAAAAATAATAAATTTTATTTTTTTAAAAAGGGTCGAACCGCCAGTTCCATTTTCGATTCAGAACAGGCCCAACAATTCGAAAACTAATAATATGTAGTCTTGAACCAGCCCGGTCAAACCATGAACTCGGTTCAAACGCGTTGACCATGGAACGGTTCCTGGCCAAACCGATAGGCCGTCGGCCCGTGGCCATGTCTACTAAGTCAGCACTAATTTTACAATTTCCCCGCCAGTGATTTTTTGGATATATTAGTAGAACAATCCGAAACATCATCTATTTTTTGACTTTTTGCTCTTCTCTCGACACGCTCCATAGTGAATTCCAGTATATTCGAATATCCATATTCCCAAGCATCCTAATACCATTCTCATATCCAGATCTTTGTAGATGGATTGAATTTCTTAATCTCCGCTCGATCAGTTTTATTCGTTTTTAGGTTTTGTATTTTGGTTCCTTTTCTGTTCTTCATCAATTGGCAGATCCGTGAAAAAATCGTATTTTAATCGGAGATCGTTGGTCGCGATGAAGATCGAGGAGCTGGATGATTCTATTGCGAGTAATGACGTTGGTGATAAAGATGGAAGCATGATCGCAGTCCGGGTTGATGCTAAAAGGGCTCTAGTTGGGGCTGGGGCCCGTATCCTGTTCTACCCGACTCTTTTATACAACGTTTTCCGGAACAAAATTCAGGCCGAGTTCCGATGGTGGGACCAAATTGATCAGGTATATGACATCTGGATACAACGGTGTCATATTTACTGCTCTTATAGTTGATGATTACTTTTAGGATATTTAGCTTTGGGTGATCGTAAACATGTCCCGCGACTCATTAGCTTGAGCAGTTGATTTAAGTTTACTTCAGTGGTGATTCCATTCGGGTCGATTTGCAATTTTATTGCTGCCATCTTATTTTCGAGGGGTATGCTTCTTGATTACTCTTTAGTGATAATTGCCTGTGAAGTTGGACTTATTATGATGAATTTTCCCCATTACTTGATGCTGTCCTTGTGATTCTGGCCTCCAAACTTTCTTTTCTTAACACTTAATTTTTTCTGATTTGATAAGGTCATACATGCTGACATATTTGTTTTTGTTTTTTTTTTGTTTTTTGTTTTTTTTTTGTTTTTTGTTTTGACTATTTAGTTTCTGCTGTTGGGTGCTGTTCCGTTCCCAAAAGATGTACCTCGTTTGAAGGAGCTCGGAGTTGGTGGTGTGATTACTCTGAATGAGCCCTATGAGACTCTGGTTCCAACCTCTTTGTACTATGTGAGTGTTTTACTGTTATTGGTTTTTCTTTAGCTGTTCATTGTTGTTGAATTGAAGGTTAGCTAATCATGTCTAGTTTCTTATTCTTCAGTAAGTTTCAGGAGTTATTGGCTACGGTGAAATTAAGTGCTGGTTTGTCTTGTAGGCAATGTCTTCTTTGTCTTTGATAGGGTTGTTTGCCTGATGCTGCTGGAGTATACACACATACTCATATACATTCACACAGTGACGGATCTAGTAATTTCAGTCAGGAGGGCCCGATTTTAAATCTTATAACGAGCTTTGTGAATGTATATGAGTACGTGTGTATACTCCAGCTTTTGTAGTTTAAGTCGAAACGCTCATTTCATATAAAAACTATAAATATATAAATATCGAAATATGTACCATTAAGTTTTTAAAAAATTAGAATGTGTATCAAGTCAAACTTAAGAAAAAAAAAAGATTTAATGTATTTACAATATAAGTTCAACATCGACAGTTCATGAAAAAAATAAGTTTTTTGGTTGAAAAATTGATTTAATTGAATTTTCGTAGCACATTGCATAACATTTTTGTTGACGAGAGCTTATCAAATGAACATTTTTCTAAGAAGAAAATAAATAAATTTAAAAACATGTGGTTACACTTAAAAAAAGTAAAAAATCAACATTAGTAAAATGTAACAATCCAACTAAATAGTAAATAGTAGGTTTTATAAATCACTAATTCGATTTACAATTAAAGACCGAAAAAGTAAATCATTATAAATATTTTAAAAAATCTATCTAAAAATGTAAAATATAAGGTTTTTAGTACATTTTTCAGTAAATAAATAATATTATTAATTTAAACTAAAGTAGCATAGAAAATTAATTTTAATTATTAATATATTGTAAATATTTTTTACATTTCTATACATATTTTATAGTATTTTCTTTGTGTATATATATTTTTTTCTTATATATATATATATATATATATATATTTTTTTTCATTTCTATGCAATGTGCTCCGTCTATGCATTCAAGCACACACATGCTTTAATATATATTAACTGAGTAGGGATTATTTGTGCATACCTGTAGCTAAGAATGAGAATGGTATACTTTCTTTTACATGTGATGCGGTAGCTTGCTGTTTAGCTTTGTTATTGGGTACTTATAGTTAGTTTTTGTTTCCAGCCTCTATCTTGAGTCATTATCGGTAGGTTAAGTAATGAACACTGATTTTTTTCTTATGGTTGTTTGCCTTGAAGTCATACTCGTGTTTGTCATAAGCCACTTATTTTATTATGGAATGCAAGAAAATATCCTGAAGATGAAGTCTCTTGTTTGTGGCTTGTAGATATGTTAAATGGGCCATACCTAGCGGTGTCAGGCTACATCATCCTATTTATAGAAAATGGATTTAAGCAGGCCATGAGAATGTGAGCGTAGCTCGGACTCTATGGGCTTTGTGCTAAACGAGCTGCTAATTGGTCTTTTATCAAAATTTCTCAAGCTACAAATTAAGTGCAAAATTTTTTGAATTTAAATATACACAAAATTTAATTTTAAAAGGTATACATAATTTTAGTTGATTTGCATTAATAAATCAATAAACTCAAATTTGTATAGAATAGTATTGATATATAGTAAATGTCTCTCATTATTTAAAAAAATGAGTATTTCTGTTACATATTTGAAGTAATAAGAAATTAACAAATTTAATACGCCTACAAATTTTAAAACAAAATAAGCTGTTGAATATTATATAACCAACAAAAATAAGTTAAAAATGAATATAAAAGTATTTGAGTTTTCTTTTGCATAATGAGCAGTTAACCTACTGGTCCCTTACATGCTGGTGCTAGACAGCTTGGATTTAAGGACATTAAACCGTATTTTCCGGGATATATCGGCTGGTTATACAAGCCTTGGCCCATTTACCATCTCTACTGGCGGGTGTTGGATCTTATAATTCTTTAACTCAAAAAGATGTCAGTGTAATACTTTCCTTCTCAAGGAGGCTGTAAACTTGGGTCTGGATAATATAGACCTTTCATCTGTCAAATGTAAAATGTGTTGAGTGATTAACTATGCTAATTTTGTCAAATTCTCCTAAAGTTTACTGTATTTTGTGTTTTCATTTTTCAGGCTCATGGGATAGACCATCTTGTAATTCCAACTAGAGATTATCTCTTTGCTCCTTCTTTTAGTGATATTGACCTAGCCGTCGATTTCATTCACAGTGCGTTTAGATTACTCTTATATTTTTGTATTTTATTATCATAAAATCTTTCATTGATTTCTTAGCATTTCATAAGTTTACTTTGTTGCCTTGTTGATTCACAGGAAACTCTTGTAGTGGTCAAACAACATATGTCCACTGCAAAGCAGGAAGGGGAAGGAGCACAACTATTGTTCTCTGTTATCTTGTACTCTTCTCTTCTCTATAAATAAATATGTCTCATGTACAAATGTTATTTTTTTTTTTTTTTGGACACTAAATCAATCCCCTTGATTTTAATTTTCAGGTGGAATATAAACACATGAGTCCAACTGCAGCATTTGAATATGTTCGATCGAGGAGACCCAGAGTGTTACTGGCTCCTTCACAATGGAAGGTATGCAAAATGTAAAACAATCTGATTGCAAGATGAAATTGCATGCCACCCAAATTGTTCTCTATTTTTTCAGGCAGTCCAAGAGTATCAACAACAAAGGGCAGCTGCTAAAGCCATGTGCACGTCTGGAGATGCTGTGTTAATTACAAAAGCAGATCTTGAAGGATATCATAGTCCCTGTAATAAGGAGCTGAGGGTCGTGTCCCGGATGAATAGGACAAAGCCTATGATGGCCATGCTATCTTGCCTCTTTGCATCTCTCAGAGTTTCAGGTAACTGTGGGCCTGTGATGAGGCAGTTGACCGAGGCTCGTGCTTGCTAAAAACCGGCATCTTTTTAGCCGCTGCTAGCTTGTACAATGTGTTGTGTGATACATACGGACTGTTGGGAAGTGTTAAAAAAGAGTGTTTTTGTGTTAAAAAATAAAAAAAAAAAAAAATGGAGAAGAAAGAACAAAGGGCAGGGGAGATAAATGTGGCTTGTGATGACCGTCATCATTTGTATATAGGCATGGATGAGCATACACTGCAGTTCAATCGATGTATAGTTGCGTTTGATTTAATGATTTCCCTTGTTTGCCGAATAAGGAACAAATCCCGGTAATTGGAAATTAAATAAATGAAACCGAGTTGCATCATATAATTGTTGACAGATGGGTTTATTACGCTTTACCTCATTAAGAAAAAATCTTCAATGTTGTGCATGTAAGTCTGAAGTTTTAATTGCAGTTTCTCCCTGAGAATAAGTGATAATTTCTGTTATTTTGTAGTTTTATGTGTTAATTTCTAGTACTTGGTAACCAATTTATGTTTGGAGTGTCTCATTAGGTCTGAACTTTTATTCATACTTATTAGAACTTTTAAATTTTTAGATCACTTGAATAATTTAAATTAGAAGTATTTTTTAAAAAAATAATAATAGTTTATATGTTANAGTGTAAAAAAAAAACAATTATTATAATACGAGGACTGATGAGTTCATTTAAATAAAAATAATAATACAATTTACAAAAAGTATTTCAAATTAAAAAAAAAAACTTATTATTCAAATGTTTTTAAATATAATATTTCTTAAAGTAAAACTCAGTCACAATCCCCCTACCTTCTTACCTACCTGCCATAAGTCCTATCCATGTCGCAAACAAGACCTCAACCTTGATGACCTACAGACCATGAGGTTTCTCTTGTGCCCGAGCTCCCTATGCCTCCAGACCTCCGGGCTACTTGAGCTGTGTCGACTCGTATCATAAACTGCCTAAGCGAGCTCCCTGACAAGTATATCTACTGAAGACGAGTTGAGTTCTCTCAAACCGACCATGACCGAGCTAATCATTCTGGCTGGTTCACCGAACTATTTTGGGTGATATATCAACATATATTAGTCATATTAGTCATATGATTGTTCGCAAATAATTAATATTTTTTCAGCACCCATATAGATCTTTTCTTAATGCATTTGCAAATTAATTAGAGTTGATAAGAAGGCCGAGTTTGTGCCAATTGCCATCATTTCAAAATTGAGCCAAGTTCGTGAGAGATTTGCCCAGGACAGGCCCAACGATCATTTGACTATATAAAACAGAGCAAGTTTAGCATGTTATCTCTCCAACTGTATCTTTAATTTTCAAATAAGCAAGTTGGAATAATTCTAAGGAAAGGCGAAAAGAATAGTCAATTCAAATGTAAAAGTAAAAGAAAAGGGTGAAAGGGAACGGTAAGGTTAGTACATATGATATTCCAAAACGCACTACATATATAATTCTTCCTACAACTTCTTTGCCACACCGAATCTCAACAACTTGGAACGCCCCAAAACACATAGTGTGCAAATTCTACTTTTAGAAGCATCTAAAAATCTTCCACAAAGCCAAAAAAATGAATATCAACTTTTATAGTGCCAACAGACATATTTATTCTCTGGTTTAGTTTAGCATAATGTGGAAAGCGACAATTATCTTCCCTCTCTCTTCGATACAAATCGTATTGTATTACATTAACTCAATCTGGGTTATTCCTTTTTTTCTTATTTGTGCCAAAATTTGCTCAAGGATTCTCTACAAATCATGGGTTAAATACCTTATTGGCACGCAGAAAATATAACCTCATCCATACGGACAACAGGCATCTTTGTAATCCATGTTTTTAAGACTGTTTATAAGAAAATAAAATCTATGCATATCTTGAAAAAGAAAAAGTCTTGTCCCGATTTGGTGGAATCTAACCTAGACCCTTGCATTATTGAAGGAAAATGACTCTCTTTTATAACTACAACCTTACAAAAGTATGAAAATCGAATCGCATTAATTAATACTTGTTACTCTCACACGTACAGCCGCATTTTTATTTTGTTTTTTGTGCACGTAATTGATGACTTGAGCCTTGAAATCTTCTTTATGCCAGGAGTCTCATATGGTACTTTGCAGGTTTCGAAAGCCGATTTGTAAGCAGGAAGCGGGCTCTCATGGTATAGACTATAGAGCTCGTAAAATATAATCTTCTAAATCCATTAGCAGCAATAATGGAATAAATTTGTAGTTTTAGGTCGAATACGGAATAAATTTCGATCTCGGGTCGTGTCTCTGGAGGAAGGTTGTTCGGACACGAATTCAGACAACGATTGACTCATACACGAAAAGAAAATAAAATGTCCTAAACAATCTACTTGCAATTTGGGGTTTGGATTGAGCTAAAGATCACAACTTTAAACTAAATCGGAAACAAGATTCAAATAAAGAAAAAGAAATAAGGTACCCTAAGACCCGAGATGGAAAGAAGACATTCATAGGTTCGGAACATATAATCAAGCAATCGCCACTCGCGAATCAACTAATCGAGCACTCAAGCAATTCTCGCTTACGCAATCAACCACAAAATCATATATTTCTTAGCCTACGAGGATGATAGCATAATGTACTCATGAAAGCTCTTATCTTTACCCTAGAAAAATCTAATAAGTAAAGACAAGAAAAACTTACGACATCTTGGACCTTAAACTAAATCTCCAAGTCTTTAGTACATCCACGTGAAGAAATAAGCCGGAAAGTTGCAATCTTGATGAAGAATTATTACAATAAAAATTGGATCTTAGAGCTCTTAGAGAGAGAGAGAAAATGTATAGATAGAGAGAGAGAGAGAGAGAGAGAGAGAGACTGAGAGAGAGAGAGAGAGAGAGAGAAACTAAGAAGAAAAATCTTACAAATGAAAAACAGAGCGCTCTTTGGCGAGCTGGTGCACGCGCTCGCGGGGTCACGACTGGGCATCTGCTGGGGCGCGCACTCGGGGTCGACTGTGCGTCCACAGCGAATGTAGGGCAGTTGGGCACAGGTCGTCTCGCGCCAGGGCACGGGACGTGCGGGGACTGTGCTGTTTGTTATGTTTTTGTGGTGTTTTCTTGTACTTTATGTGCTTTAGTCGAGTCGTTTTTAAGTTCGTTTTAGTGTCAACCGGTCCATATTATCGTATTTTATGTGTTTTTGTTCTCCTTATGTGTTTTTGTATTTTGCCGTATTCTCTTGCATATTTTGGTGTGTTTAGGTCCACACTGTTCGAGTTGGGATGACGAGCTATTTTCGAGCTATGTCCGAACCTTATCCGAGCCATCCAGACCATTTTCGATCCATTCCGAGCCATGTCCGAGACATGATCGCACACAAGGCACTCGCCGCGAAGTCCCGCTCGCGACCTGCGAGACAGTTCTAGAAGCCCCAGCCAACCCCGCGCACTCGCTGCGAAGTTTCTTTAGCGCCCCGCGAGACGGCACCGTGCAAGAGGAGCAGAGCGCACTCGCTGCGAACGAGCTTTGGCGCCCCGCGAGACAGCCGCGCGCGCGAGCGAGAAGACCCCGGGCACTCGCTGCGAACATGACCTCGCGCTTCACACCATCAACACGAACTCGCTGTGGGATGCGATTGGCGATCTGCGAAGCGGCACGCGCACAACCCTAGGCGCGGCACTCGCAGCGAACAAGGATTCGCGCTGCGACAAACACCACACCACAGCCACCAAGGGCACGAACTCGCTGCGAAGCTACTTTGGCGAACCGCGAACACACCCTGCTAACACCAAATAATGCCACACTCTCTGGGAAATCGGTTTTGAGATCCGCGAACCACATAGTTTTAGTAAATGTGTGTGTTTTTAGTGTGTGTTTGTGGTGTAGCTATAAATAGACATTGTGCTTTGTATTTTTGGGGACAACCCTTTATTTCCCAACTTTAAGTTGGGAAATCATCTCTATTTTCTCTCTTTTATTTTTATGCTTTGGTTTGGAGGTTCATGACTCGATTTTCCGGCAAAATTTCGACAATCTTATTTGATCAAGACTCTAGTTTTACGTACTATTTTCGTTCGGGCATGCAATAGGAGAGTAAGTACCTTGCTTTGGCTTACTACTTCGAGTTTGTTTTTCGATTTACGTGTTTATGCTCGATTTTAGGTCTTTCCTTTATTTTCATTGCTTGCTTACGTGTGTTAGGAATTTAATGCGTGCTTATCTAGTATAGAGATCTCGACTTTGCACAAAGCGTGATGATCTAGTGTAGAAAGCTCGTGTTAGGTTACCTAGGTTTTCTCTTGTTTATTTTTTTTGTTTTCTTGAGTAATAGATACTCCATACAACCAAAGTTACGATCATTCTTCCATATCTTGCATTTTTCATCATTTGCTCTTAGATCCTTAGCTTAATTTCGTGCAATTCAAACCAATCAAGCGAGTAGAATGTGTAGGGGCTTATTTTCGGTTATGTGAATAGACGACTAGATAGTGAATGAAGCTCCGAACAGTCTTCCTTTGAGAACGACTTGAGTTGGATACTCGATTATCAACAATCACAAAAAACACAACAACATGTGCACGGGCGGATGCGGCATGGCACGGGACGGCTCGGTCGCCTCAGACGACTCGTCTTCCCAAACTCGGCAAAATGGACCTAATCAATACCAAACGAGACGAGAAAACGCGAAAAAAAATACAAAACACAAACCAAGAGCAAAAATACAGAAAACACGATAAATGGACCGGTCGACACTAAAACGAACCTAAAAACACATGACTACGACACATAAAACTCACGAAAAATACTACAAAATAGCAAACAACTCTCCCACACTTAACTTTTTGCTTGTCTTCAACCAAACAAAACAAAAAGTAGTTCGAGAAGAAAGATCGAAAAGTTCAAAATTAATGATCATGCGAAATGAAGCTCTCTTCTTTCTTCTATTTTCCACAAAATTAAACTCAAATTCAAAAACACGGTCTCCACAAGATGAATTCATACAAAACAAAAACCCGTTCCAAGTCATTCAACACATGATTTACTCGATTCAAACTTTCTTTTTCCCAATTCACGTGCAAAAGCTATAAACGGGTCACTCAACATATAATAGACAATAAGCACGAACCCAAGAAGGCCAACTCCCTTTTTTTTTTCTTTTTTCTACACGAGTCACTTTTTCCAAATCAGAGTTGTTACGATGATTATTACCTAAGTTTAACCTCGGGGTTTGTCCAAGACTCTCCTATACAGGTTTCCCGTATTCATTGACCCGAGACTAATCGGGTCAAGCAGAGTATAATCCTTTAAATTGTCACGAGCTCTTTTTTTTTTTTCTTTTGTGAGCTACCTTTTCCAAACGAGGTTTCCAGACGATTATTATCTAGATGTAACCTCGAGGGATTTCCTCAAGTCTCCTAAACCGGTTTCCCAGGCTCATTATCTCATTCCATGAA